AATCCTAAAACACCACCTGCCCAACACCTACTCAGTATTTACTAAAAATTTTTAAAAAGCAAAGAAAACAAAGGAATTCAGCTCTAATTCAAAGAGATTAAAGATTCTTGCAAGTTGCACTGAATGATTTATTTACATGAATTTTAAAAATATGCAAAGTCTACACAACATCTTCACAAGGAATAAGAAGGGAAAACCAAACAAAAGCAAACAACTGGGAGTCCCAGGCAAGTTAGGGTTCATTTGGCAGCTTCAGGGACTTTACAGACAGGGACTTCGGGAAAGTTAGAGGCTTCTGAGATAGGACAGTAAGTTACCTAAGAGGAGCTAACCAAACATACTCCAGAGACGAGGTCAGAAATCCAGGAGGGTTAATGGGAGCAGTAAATTTTAAGGCTCATGGGGACAGTAAATTTTAGGAGACACACTCTTAAGAGCTGGGAGAATGGACGCATTTGCCCAGACAAGTATCATCACTATGAGGAGGCGCCAATCACAAAGTAGGACGAGGACATTTTAGAACAGAGGGGGAAAAAGGTTTAAATCTCCTCCAGACACGGCCCACACAGCATCTTTTGCCCCTCCTTGGCATCGCTGCCTTGGAGTCTTTGCTTTTGTTCTTTCTCCTCTAAATAAACTTTACTCTGAATAAAGATTTGCTTCTCTCCGCTTATCTATCTGAAGGTTTGTCTATGAATTCCCTTTTATGGCTTCGTGGGACAAGAACTTGTGGTGGTTGAAGGGTTAATGGGGTGAAGAGCAGTAGTAGCAGCTGTAATCATGGTAACAACACATACTGGCTCCAGAATGAGAAAGCTTCAGGAGAGCAGCTTCTCTGGAGCAGGAAGTGGTGTGACTGGGCACTGTGCAGCTGCACAGTTAATGCTGGCTCACTGCCTGTTGTCATTATTCTTTAAATTATACAAATGTTAGTTTTATACTTCTTTTTAATTAAAAAAAAAAAAAAACCCCAAACCAACAACTCTGAACTATAAACATAAATACAGGGGGAAAACCCCAAGATAAAGGGGTAATGTTCTTTGAAGAAGAAAAAACAAGGCACCAATAAATTATTAACCCCACTGCTTATGAAAGAAATGCTGGTTAATCCGTCAATGTCATGCCATCAATCTGACAAAAGGTTATAAAAAATTAGTGAGTTTTTGGGAAAAGAGGCACACTGCCTGCAATGGTGACTGTAAAAAGTAATAATTTGGTCTTATATGATTTTCAACAGTTCCTTTCTCACAGCTCCCAAAAACCTTGCAATTTCCTGAATGTGTAGCATATTAAAGGTGCCTCTTGTTATGTTACTGAAGGGACCTTGCAGGCATGCTCTGGAGGACAGGCTGGCTGCCAGGGAAACAAAACACTATGATTAAAAGATGGGAACTTCCAGTCCCAGCCCCTGACCTCTAGTGGGTGGAGGGCTGGGAAGGCTGGAAGTTGACTTAATCGCTAATAGTGAGTTAATCAATCATGCCTGTGTAATGAATCCGCCATTAAAACCCAAGAGAATGGGGGGCCTCCCCTGGTGGCGCAGCGGTTGAGCGCTGGGCTGCGAGGCTCGCTTCCCGACAGCTGGCGAGGGTCCCACAAAAAACAAACAAAACAAAAAAAAAAACCCCGAGAGAATGGGGCTTCAGAGAGCTCCAGGTTGGTGAGGACATGGAGATCTGGGGAAGATGGTAGACCTGAAGAGCGCCCTTTTCCCACACCTCGCCTATGCATCTCTTCTCTTCGGCTGTTTGGAGTTACGTATTTTTAATAAATCAGTGAATCTAGTACATAAACAGCTTTTTTGAGTTCTGTGAGCCCCTCTAGCAAATTAATAGAGTATCCTGGGAATCTCTGATCTCTAGCTAGGAAGTCAGAAGCACAAGTAAAAACCTGGGCTAGTGGCTGGCACCCGAAGTTTAAGGAAGCGGTCACAGGAATTCTAATTTGCAGCCCATTGACCAGAAGCACAAGTAGCAACCTAGGCTTGTAGCTTGTGTTGGAAGTGGAGGGAGGGTTTACCTGTGGAATCTGATGCTAATCTCTGGTAGTGTCAGAAGTGACTTCTCATTCCGTGATAGTGTCCGAGAACTGTTTGTTGGTATGAAGAAACCACACACTCACACTGAAACTGGGTTTGGAACTATGCATACTGCTCTCTCACAATAATAAAAACAAGTAATAATCAACACTTTTTCAGCAGCTACTGTTAGCATTGTCCTAAGTACTTTATAAATATATTTTTTTAAAGATTTATTTATTTATACAAGCACTGGGTACAGTCAGAGCGCGGGAGGGTGAGAGGATTCACCAGAGCCAGAGCGGGGAACAGAACAGGCAGACCGACGAAATATACTGCTGAGGGGAGCAGTGGGCGCGACCCTAGCCGGTGGCCGGGGATCGAACCGGCGCTACAGAGGCTGCGGGCAGCTTCACAGCCCAGCACTCAACCTCTGCGCCACCATGGGAGGCCCTACTTTATAAATATTAATTTATTCAACCTATCAAAACGGGTGGGAAGAGCACAAGGGGCTACAGTGATGGGACAAAGGTGAATTGGTGGTGGGAATTTCGTGGGGACTACACCTGAGAGGAGAAAGCATACATTGTATAAAAATGAAGAATGATGTAAAATATATATAAAATTAAAAACATATTCATTTATTCAACCCTATAATCCTATAAAGGAATATTCTCCTAATCCCACTCAGTGAATCAAACATGTAGGAATTAGGGCCTCCCTGGTGGTGCAGGGGATAAAGTCTTAGGGCTATCAAGCTATCAGCAGCCACTGCAACATAAGTTCCACCCCAGCCAGTGAGCTAACCCACATGGCGCAGCAGGCCTCTCTCTCCTGTCTTGCCTGCTGCTCCCCTCAGTAGTGGATTTCAGTAGATCCACCTGTTCTGCTCCCCCCTCTGTCTCTGGTGAATCCTCTCACCCCCCACCCCTGCATCTCTGGCCTACACCCCAGCTCTTATATGCATAAATAAATCTTTAAAAAAAAAAAAAAAAAAGCATGTAAGGATTAAATAATCTGACCAAACTCACAAAGCAAATTGACTAGCACAACAAGAAAATGTAAATTAATACAACCGGTTTGGGTTGTTTTCAAGGGCAATTTCACAATATTCAACCTGAAAACGTGCTACTTTGACCTGGAATTTCAGTGCCAAGAATCTATCCTAAAGAAACATCTGGATACTACCACCTTAAGCCTAGTGACAGAAGACTGGAATACTGCGCACAATTACAGTTCTGGTCTAAACACAAGCATTATCTCCTTTACCTACCAAACACCACTGAAATCAAAGTTAAAGGATGAAAAAGACAAAGTTACAAGAAGTAGAAGGGAGATGAAAAGCAGAGGAAAGAGTGGCAAGTGACTAAGCACATGAAATGAGTGAATGTCTACAAACTGGCATGTTTGCCAGTGAGAAACAAGCAGGTCAATTTGTTCACATGGCCCCCACAAAATCTTAGGAATTGAAGAAAGCCAAGCATAGTGGTTAAAAGAAGAACTTTTCACACACATTAAAACAACCAAAACGCTAAACTCCTAAAGAAACCAAGGATGCATGCAAAAGAAAATGTAATTATGTAATCAAGACAACTAACCAAAAATTGCGCTCTTTTCACTTTTCTGTAAGTCAACATATTCTGGAAATAACAACTCAACAATAATAATTTTAGAAGTACAGAGAAAACTAGTAGAAGAAATTAAGTTGAAAATGCCTAACTAAAAAGTGGAACAAGGAAATGCTGTTTTTAAATTGTTATATTCTTTGACATTTTGTACCACGTAATGTTAGAAAGGAATTTTAAAAAGAAACCCTTGTAAGTTATAAAATATTCAGGAAAAAACAAAACAAATTCCTATAAATCTACCAATCAGAGATAATCCTTCTATATTTTGGTATCAATCATTCAACCCTTTGTATACCTACATTTTATCTATATATTTTAGAAAAAATATGAATCACAAGATTCATTCTGCACATATTAGGTAAAAGATGAACAGTAGACATTCATGTCAAGATGTCAGGTAACAGCCTTACTGATTAGTCTGCAGTTCACATGTGCACTGAAAGCATGAGATTAGGGGATTAGGGCATTGTCACGGGAGCTGTGGTGGAGCGGGGCTGAGGACACATAAGCAACTGACAAATAATAAATTTAAAAAAAATAAAGGTTTGGGACTAAATGTTATTTCCCAGGGTATGAGGAAAGGGGGTTGACTAATGAGGTGTCTGGGTCAACCTCACTGGCCTCACTGGGAGGCCATGTGAGTAAGTGTTCTCAATAAGGAACAGCACCTGGGTAAAAGGTGCAAAAAATGTTATCAGGAAACACAAATGTTGAGAACTGGTGATCTTGATAAGTCTTCAGTGTAGTGATAAGAAAATTAATTATGTTCAAGAGGAAATTGGGAGACGAGTACAGAAAACTCTTTCAAGGCATATTTAGGGACAACAGAATTGACTGCTATATCGTAAGCATCTATCTAGCTCTTGGCTCTTGAAGTGAGTTACTGAATGAATGTCAAAACTGAAAATTTCAAAAACCTCAAACCATATTAAGCAATCCAATGGTAAAGAGTTAGAGCTTGCTGCCCATCCCATTCTGTTCCCAGCATAATGAGGATGCAAAAACATGAGCTTCTCTTTGTCTTTCGTAATTTGGTGTATTTGGAAATTAGCATTTTGACTGGTAGTCAAACCGAAAGATAAAAACACCTTCCTTTTCTGATCTTCATTTTCCAGGTAGCAAAAAATTAAAAATTAACAGATAAATTATGAACATGTTACCAAGGGACTTTTCAAATGGTGGTTTAAACAAAACATCTTATTCCAAACCCTTTTCTGAGATCTTAGGAAGTCACTTAACTTCCAAAATGGGTAACTTTCCCTTTCATAATTCACATAACCTCTCTCTTCATAATTCACATAACCTCTCTCTTGCAGCAAAAATTCAATTTCCAGAAAAGAGTCAGGTTTCCCTACCTGACATAATGTCTTCTGCTAATTCCTTTTCTCTTTCAATTTTTCCCTCAAGAGTTGAAATGCAGAATTCATAGCCAGCAAGAGCAAATTCTTGTCTGTAAAGCAAAGATTAGCAGTCAGTTGTTCACCTTCTTACAAACTGCTTCTTTACCCTCATTTTCCTAGCTTGGGTTTGAGTATTATAAAAGTTAAGTGCAAAATAGGAAGATGGAATTTTGTTTGGTCTCTAAGGAATGTCAATCTGTCATTTCTCAAAAAATAATTTTTTTTCAGTCATGTAATTTTAGACATAAAAGCCAGGAATCTGGCTGCAGTTTCAGTAACTGACTTAATTATCAGTTTTCACCACCCTCTCACTAACAGAGTTTCAAGTAAGTCTTTTTCTCCATTTATGAAAAATCTCATCCTAATAATGGTATGAATCTAATCTACTACCAGTATGAACCAAGCAAGGTTAAAGGCTTATTAAACCCCATAGTAAGGATTCTACCTACTGACCTCATACCGTGTTTGAAAACGTTTATTAGCTTAATTCTTCTTCTAAGCTGTAGCTCTTTGATGAACATTTCTTTTATAGAAATGAACTTCTAGCTATGGCACTGGAAGGCATTTAGCCCAGTTCTATAGTCACCTATAAAGGACACCCAAGCAGGCAGACTGACTTTGGACAGAGTTAGCTATAGAAACTGCTGGTTTCTATAAAGAGATGCACAGGAACATGAGAAATTCCTTCTCCATGCAGAAACTCCATTTTGAATTTTGCTCTTCCAGGTGAACTCTAGTTTTATTTTGTGCCTTTTTTTTTTTTTTCTTCTTTTAAACCAGAAGTGGCACTACAAAGCTCATCTCTACTCTTCTTGTTGTTCTCTGCCAGGAAAGATAAGATGACCCCATTGTTTTACTGTTGTTAGAAGAACAGAAGCTCCCCTTTTAGTCTCAGACCCAAACCTTGGCTGGAGGGACCTTGCCATCCAGAACATGGATTAGGGTTAAAATGTCCAAAGATGCTCCAGTGAGAGCAAAATGTCTATAAACACGCCCCACTAATTCACATTAGCCTTTGTAAGACTCACAATCCAGTCATATCACTTCTGGTCTTATACTTCTCTATAAAACGAAATAAAAACAGAAACACTTTTAAGGGGAGAACACAGTAACTTACAGATTGATTATTAGTGATCACTATACAAGCTTTCACCTCTCCAGGACAATGAACGACTTACTTGCCAGAGTTTATTAACTTAAGGGTTCTTCTTACCCTAGGAGTTTATATCCCATCAACACCTGTCCCTTTTTGCTCCTCTTCCCAAGAAGATTGATCAAAGCTGCAATGCTCCCCAGCACAAGCCAAACTCCTCAAAAGACCTTAATTCAAAGCCCCTCAAAGGCTCTAGCCTAGTGACCAACCAAAATGCAGGAAGACTAAACAGATGCTGCTAATGAAAGAGCTGTTGCCTTGGGCAGAGGGACCAGTGCCAGGTCCCCTGGACTCTGTGGGCACTCCTTACATGGCACCAAGCATGATGTCATTCCAAAATGCTGGTACCCAACTTCTGCAACAACCGAAATCCTTAGAAAAGTTAGCCTTAGATCGTTCCTTAAATTCACCCCAACACAACTCTCCAGAGCTGTTCTCTGTTTACATCCTACACATTTCTTCTTTGAACTCCACCCAGAAAGAATGGCACCAAGCCTACTCATCAGTGTTCCTGACCTTTGATACACATGTAAATTATTTTCTAAACAGTCCCTGTGCAGTTGGGAAACTTTTTCTAATTTATAGGAATTTAGACTCATCTAATATTTCTAAGTTAACATTGCTTTCCAGTCCTAATTATCCAAAGATCTCTTTTCTAATCCTAGATACTTCCCTGGCCTATAACCTAGCTACGCGATCATTTCTACATGCTTTAAATAAACACTGCCCAGGGCCTCCCTGGTGGTGCAGTGGTTAAGCGCTGGGCTGCGAAGCTGCCCACAGCCTCTGCAGCGCTGGTTCGACCCCCAGCTGCTCCCCGGCCACTGGAGGAGGGTCCCACATGGCACACAGAGCTCTCCTGCCGCCCGCTGCTCACCTCAGCAGTGTACCTTGGTCCTTCTGCCTGCTCTGCTCCCTGCTCTGGCTCTGGTGAATTCTCTCACCCTCCCACGCTTCTGACTGTACCCAGTGCTTGTATAAATAAATAAATCTTAAAAAAAAAAAAAAACCTAAAAAAAAAAAACAAAAACACTGCCCACTGAAACAGTCACTGAGACACTCCTATAGCAACTCTCACTGTTTTGATATCTCACTTCCTGCTGATACAAGTATCAGAGGTTTTTTTCAAAGAATATTATCCCCAACAGTTTTTACAGTTTATCTCCTCTTCAGACAAGAGCTAAAGTTCTAACTGTACCTTCCCTTCCCAAATGACTTGGAAAACTTGGTTAGTGTTGTCATGGTGCAACCAGAGTTGTGAGACCTCTGTGCCCCTTTCAGCTGGCTAATGGAAACAGCAGGGGCAAAACATGAGAAGGCTGAAGATTTCAAAGATGAGGAACGGAAAACATTTGAGTGTGACACCAAATTCTTTGGAGACACAGTTGATTAATATGCCAAAGAAGATTATTTGCCATCCCAGGATCACAGTTTTCTCCCACATCCCCAATCTCTCACTGCTGCCACACCTAAATTCTAACTATACTTACCTATTCTGAGCAGCATAGATACTAGCCAACTTTAGAGAGATTTCAATTATTGCATTGTCCTCCTGTTAGAAAAAGAAAAAAAGGAAACTGATAACAATAACAAGTAAAATTTCCTCATGGAATATTTCAAATCAACTTTGAGTGACTTTGGCCTAAACACCAAAATATTTATCCTTTTAGAGGAATTTGGCAACTGTGGAATTTCTCAGCCACATGCTTTTGCGTGAATGAAAGACTGATGTGAAGGGTAGAGAGGGACATATTTTACCTTTTCTGGACAACACATATATTGGGGACTGGGTATAGTATCAACAAAATGGTTTCTTCAAAATAGCAAGACTATTTTGAAAAGTCTGCTTCAGTTAGGGTCCAATCCTAAGCAAATATTTACCTGTTGCATACCACCTCCAAGCAGGTAACTCATTGTTGCTTTAAAAAGTTTTTCTGCCTAAAAGATAAGGAAAAAAATTTCTTTTACTTTGGCCCCACTATCATTACTTAGAATCCACGATCCTGGATTCTAAGTACTAGTCTGATGCATCATTCCTTATAAACTACAACACACACAAAAGTAAAAGTATCCTTACGATAGGAAAATAGACTAAACTGCCAAGACACCACATCCTCTTAAAAATTACCCTGAGTGAGTCGAAACCCACTTCAGAAATTACCTTCTAATCCAAACTCACTATGGCAGACTGCAAACTGTTCCCTAACATTCACTTTCCTCTCCATCTTTTTTAGTTACAGATCTCTCCTCCGTTTTTAACAGGTCAGCTTCCTCTGCAGCTAGATGTGGTCACATGATGAAATTCTGGTGAAGAGACTGCAGGTGGAGGGAATGTGAACAATTTTTAAGTCATAGTTTATAAGAAAGCTGCTTGCCCTCCATCCTGTTTTTCCTCCTTTCATTAAGCTGGACATAAGCCAGCTCATACATGCAGATAAGGCCATGTCTTAGACAGCACCTGGACTTCTAGATCACTTCATGGAGCAGAAGTATCCCTTCCCCACTAAAGTGTTTATCTCTGGGCTAATGCTTTGAAGAGAAACAAACCTCCTTCCTGTCTGAATCACTATTTCTGGGGGTCTCTATTACAGCAGCTTAGCCTATGACCCTTACTATACAGTTGCCTTGAGGCTAGTCCTTCACAAATTTAAGATTTACTTATATTACATAAAATGATTTACTTACATTTTCAAGCTGACCCCGTATAAATGCTAAGTTGGCCATCTGAAATCAAATACAAATTGTTTCTCAGTTTAGGGTACTGTTTCTACTTATTTCAAAATCTTTAGACCAAAACTTCCCTTTCCTTTTGCCCCTCTAAATAAAAAAATAGTTCAGAGAGAAAAGTATGTCACTAACTCATCTGCTAGAAACTAAGGACAGCAACAGTGTAAGAGTATATACTTTCATGTACTTTGCTGATGACAAACCAAATCGAGATCCACTAATTATTGAAGAAAAAATGCTAATGATATTTGTTTCTTTTTGCTTTAAGATTGGGGCCTCTTATAAATGACTCCCAAGGGTAATAAAGATGGAAACCAAAAGTAAACTTAGAAAAAACAGAACAGTAGAGCTTTAGTACATTCTGAACTTCAGAAATATAAATGAGGGAAGCTAATATCCCTTCTTTTGCCACCCACCATCATCAGTGACTCAGATTGGTTAGAAGAGTTACCAAATCATAAGTGTAAGTGATGGCTTTCTTGTTATCACTCTGATAGGCAAGACGAAGAGCGTCATGCAAAATATGCTCAGCTTCTTCAGGCTCATCTTTCATGATGCTCAACTGAAAAAAGAAAACAAGAAAATAACAGAAAATGAAATGTAAAGAAAACATATGCATATGCTCAGCCAGATGACAGTGGAGATGGCTATACATGCCAACACATAGAAAGAAATCATTCATTCATCAAATATTTACTGAAACCCTTTTATGCACCAGGCACTATGTCTACAGTGGTAACAGAGAGGCAGGCAAGCCTCCCTCGCAGGAATGTGAGGCTATATGAGGAAGTTTGGCCAACAGATGCAGGCAGCAGGAACATTAGCAATTTTTATGTCACATTTTATAATGAAGCCGCTTGCCCTCTATTCTCTTTCTCTTTTCCTGCAAGCTGGGAGTGACCCTGCAGGACAAATCAGCTTAATTACAGCTACTGATAAGAGCTATGAAGAAAAATCAATGGAAGGAACAAGGGGTCTCCTCTAAATGGAAATCAGAGAAGTCTTTAGAGAAACTGAGGTAGAAAGGATGAGTCAACAATTAAGGAACGGTGGAGGAAAATGACCCAAACAGGATACAGAGTGAGCAAAGGTCCAAAACACTAAAGAGGAAGGTTCTTCATAAAAAAACAGCTGTGAAGGGAAGAGGTATACTGCTAAACGAGTGGTTACATTAGATTAGTTTTTATCATGTAGGTGCTTACAGGCTGTAGTAGCAAGTTCAAGTTGATCACAAATGCGGTGGGAAGTCATTCAAAGTTTGTTCTGAAGGCTCTGACATGCTCTGATTTATATTTCTAAAAAAATCACTCTTGCTGCTGCATGGAGAATAGGGGGGAGGGAGGGGAAAGTGAGGGAGGAGGAAGGGAATAAGCCAGGCAAGACTTTTAGGTAGTATAGGATGTAGCAGTGTGGCTACAGTGATAGCACAAGAGACAACAAAAGGACTTTTTGCTGGACTTTAAGTGTACTGGGAGACAGGGATATGATACCATAAGTTTTATGAATTACTATGGGGTTTCCAGGCTGAAAAAACTGGTAGTAAAGATGAGGAAGGTATAAATTAGGAGACACTTAAGACCAAGCATTTAGGTCTGGAAGTTGTACACCTGAAACTAATATAAATGTTGTACGTCAATCAACTTCCACAGAAACAAACAAAACCATGTCAGGAGACTGTAGCATGGGGTTCATAGGCAACAATATTGCATCGCAAATTTGAAAAACTGCTAAGAATAGAGAGCAAACAGACTCACTGTAGTGATCTTTGTATTCTATACAAAGGGCAAATTACCTTGTACACCTGACACTAATAATGGACCTACAAGTTCATTAAGCTACGATCAAAAACAACTGGGGTGTGTTAGTCTGAGGTAGGTGGGGCCTCAAAGTGGAGCTTATTGGTCTTAAATACAGGAATGTAACTTTAGACATTGAGGTAGTAGTTGGCCCCATGGAAGAGATCAGATAGCCTGGAGAGGAAAGGAAAAAAAATATGGGGGAAAGGTAAAGAAAGGGAAGAATTTAGAAAGACGTTAACCAAACTCCAGAAATCAACCCTAAATTACATTTACAGGGTGCTGCATAAGTGCAAAATTTTTTATGCCAGTGTTTTCAGCTTGACTGGCTCACTGATAAAAATAACTACAATATATTTCCGCTAATTTTGTTTGGATAAAGAGCGATGCCTGTGATGCCACCTTCACTCGAGACTGCAGCAGTTTTACTGCAGGCGTGAGTGACAAGTCTGGATGGATCCCAATTCCCCCTCGCCTTCTAATGACCCATCTAATTCTGGGCAATTTTACCTCGGAGCCTCCACCTAATTTTCTGCAAATGGGAGAGTTATGCGCACGAGCCTCACCTTGGCTCGTTTCAGCAGCTGGATGATCTCGGCCTCGGTCTCGTCCGCCGCGTCCTCCGCGGCGGCCCCGCCCGCTCCCTGCCGCTCCTCCTCTTCTGCCGCAGCGGGCCTCGAGAACCAGGCAAGCGCTGAGGGAAGGGGCTCTGTGGTCACCCGGCTCGGCCCGCGCCCCTTGCCCCGCCCGGCCGGCCCCGCCCGGCCCGCGCCCCTCACCTGCCAGCAGCGGCAGCAGGCCCGGGCGCCGGGCGGGCGGCAGGACTCGGGCTGGTGGCGCCTCCGCCTCGGGCGCCCGGCCTCCTGCCGGCTCCGGCATCAGGCGCGCGGGGCAGGTCTGGCACCGCCGCCCGGCGGCCCGCAGGAGGCCGCGGCCCAGGGTCGAGCTCAGGAGCCGGTACATGCTCCGGCGGCGTCCTCTGCGCACTGCAGGCCCCGCGGGATCGCGGGGCGTCCCGCCCCCGGCACCGAGCGCCCGCCGGATTGGTCGGCCCCCTGACGTAGGCGTTGGCGTCATCGTTGCCACCCGGAGGGGCGACGGCGCACGCCTACGTCACTGAGCGCCGCTCAGCTACCGACTGACGGCGGGAAATCGCCACCGATCTGCTGCGTGGGCCCTGTCTGCGCTCCGAGGAGGCTGCGATCTGTGTGCAGCCATGGCCGCCGCCTCGTCGGCGGTCACCTTGCCGACGGTCGTGGAGGCGCTGCTGCGCGAGATGGCGGCGGCGGTGCAGGAGAGCGCGCGAAGTACGGGCCGGCGGGGGCTTAGCTGCGCGGGGGGTGCTGCGCCCCCCGGCCGAAGGGCGACGAGTGGGGCCTGGGCCTGGGGGCGCGGATTGGGGGCCCGCGCCCGCACTCTTCGCGGGGGCCTGTCTTTGCCCTCTTCCCACGTGTTTCCATCTCCAAACCTGCTACTCTTAAAAGAAAGGAAAGGAAAGCAAAAGTGGATTTGTTGGGTCAGGGCGCGAGCCGGCCAGTGGGAAGCATTCCGAGCGCTGCCAGCGGGCTCCCGAGGAGGGGCCCTGAACTGAGGGTGAAAGGGACAGGACTTAAAGAAAGGCCAGTTGTTCAATTATTAGACTTGCTTTAGTCTCTTTCTGAAAACCTGTGTTAATTTTAAAACTACCCTCTCTTACTCTGTGTTCAGCAACTGTGCAAGGGCCACAAACAATGTATACGCAGTGACGAATAAGCCCGGATATGGTGAAAGTAACTTTTTTTCTCTGACCAGCAGAGGGTGCTCTGCGACTGGGTTTCCCTAAGTCCCTGAGCTGATTGCAAGATAGGGTCACAGCCTAGTATTAAGATAATTACAAATAAAAATATATCAACTAGTCAGAACTATTTAACGAAAATAAAAATGGCCATTTAATAAATATGAGGACAGGCTTCAAAATTGTCACTGTTTTAGTCACTTGGATGGCTTTTGCTTTAAAAGGACAGCACTTTAAATTGGTTTATCTCATGTTAATGTTTTTAAAGGACCTAGAAATGTAAACCAGTTTTTGCTTTCTCATTTCAGTTTAAACTGACCCAGACTTCAGTGTATATGTTAAAATTAGGCCAGCCTGGTATTCAAGCACGTTTGATCATTGAAAGGATGGACAAAAAACCAACCTGTTAATCGACTCAGACAGTGGTTGCCAGAAGTAGGATCTGTGTTCCAATGGATTAATCCAAAAAATCTTGAAGGAGAACCAATAGTTGCCCCTCATGCTCATCAACTCAGACACAGGGGCCAATGCCATTGATTTGTGTTTCTTTTCAGCCGTAAGGTTTTCTATTTCAAAATCTTTGTTCTAGACGGCCATACATTCTTCTTAGGTCAAGATGCTGAGTTTACACTTGTGTGATAATATGAAAACTAGTCATACTTGAGCCAGGTAGGAAGCTATGATTACCTTTCCTTTTCTGCATAACTTTTTGCTTTCCGTAGAATTTTAACTATGTTGATTTTGTTTGTAATTTCATTTCCTGTGTATTTATTCCTCATTCAACCTCAACCTCTTTATTATAGTGTTCTTAGCTCAAGATGTTCAGATGAAAGTTTTTATCAATTTTATTTTCCTGAAGAAATCTCTCCTACAGCCTTTTGACTTGGGACTGAACACCAAGATCTCCTTTCACTATTATAATCCTGGAAATCCCCTTTATCTATGTTGAGCCTTGTGTTCAGTATATTCTACATTCTTTTTCTCTATTCACTACCTAATTTTATACAGCACATACTCTACTTCCTGAAGAAGAATGCATGAGGTGTACTTTTTGAGGTTTTACATGTCTGAAAAAGTTTTTCCTACCCTTACATTTAATTGATAGTTTGACTAGGTATTGAATTATATGTTGGAAATAAAATTTCTTCAGACTCCTGAAAGCATTGTTGCACTACATTCTGGCTTCTGGCATGTGACCTATACTAGAAATTTGAATGATCTCTATAAAACAAGTATTCTGAATCTTCTGATAAGGTGTTTTTCTGTTTTACATTTCATTGTATTGTGTGGATACTATAGGTCTTCAAGCTACTAGTTCATGTCCTATTCTAGGAAATTTTTAATTATTCGATTGGTGTGTTTGCTCCTGTTTTCTCATTTCTTTATGGCATTCCTTATATTTTATCACTGAATATTTTATAGTTCCTCTGACTGACTTACCTTTTCTCCTATATTCTTTTTTATGATCCTCACTTTTTGTTTAATAATCTTTCTTTTTATTTTTTTTTATTTTTTACATCATCGTTCATTTTTAAACAATATTTGCTTTCCCCACCCCCTCAGGTGTATTCTCCTATATCCTTTTCTCCATCCTTTCTACTTTCTTTACTTTTGGAGAACTTTCTTCAACTGTATCATCCAGATTTTCTATTGAAGTTTTCATTTCTGCTCTTTTTAATTTACAATTTTTCTCCTTGAAGGTTCATTATGATCATTTGTGCCTGTTTATGGTTACACTGACTTATATTTTCTCTGATATTAATAATAGGTGTTTGAAATTTTCTTTCTGTAGTTTTTTCTCTAATTACCTTCCTTTTGTTCTGTCTTTCCTTTTGTTGTCTGGTCATGTTTAAGAGTGGGAGATTAAAATTTTATCTGAAGCTTTGTGTTGTTAGAAGGGCTTCTGGCCTGTAAATTTCACCATAATCTCACTAGACCATTGGGAAAATCTTTTTAATGGTATTCTTGGGCTGGTGGAATTACCTAGGGAAAACTTCAATCTCCAGCCTAGAGAGGGAAAACCTGATTGCCTGCATTATGGAAGCCATGCTAAGGAAAAGAGTTCACCTGTTTTCAATGTGATATATCCTTATCTTTGTCTACTATTTGCCCCCAGTTCAGATATTGAACCTCTCCAGAAAGTAAACCTACTATTTTGCCAAAGTGAGGGAGGAGCAGTCATGTAAAACTAGGGAGGTGAATAGGCATCCTACTGCTCCTTAAACTCACTTTCAAAGAGTCTTATTTTAGTCCCCATTACATCCCCACTTCTGGAGCTCTCTGGCACCACCAGTTTCTCACAGGGCTCTGGGAGTTGGAGAGTAGATTCCGGAGTGTATATCACATTGCTGCTTGTTTTCCCCACTGCCTGCTTGGGGTTCGCTTTTCTCAGGTCTTGCACATTATTTTCTAACACATCTTAGCTGTTGTTTCTGCCCTCTTCATCCTTTGAAATTTATGCTTTAAAAAAAAAATCTCTTGGGCCTCCCCAGTGGCACAGTGGGTTGAGGGCCACTGTATGAAGCTGTCCTCAGTCTCTGCAGTGCGGGTTCAATTCCCAGCCGGCCAGAGAGATTCCCACATGGCGCAGTGGACCTCTTCCTGTCTCGCCCACTGCTCGCCTCAACAGTGTCTTTGGTCCGTCTGCCTGTTCTGCTTTTCTGCTCCCCACTCTGTCTCTGGTGAATTCTCTCACCCTTCCACGCCTCTGACTGTACCCCAGTTCTTGTATAAATAAATCTTTAAAAAAATTTTAAAAATCTTTTTATTGTTTAGCGGAGTATTGGAAGGAGTAAATTAAACTCAAAGGTTCAATTCACCATCTTACACTAAAGCTTTTTAAGTTATAGTCATTTTAAGATTTTTATGTCTGTGACCCCTGATTTAATTAGCATGATTAATTTTCTCTCCATTCCTATTTTACAGTTCCTGATGAGTATCTATTATCGTAAGTATAAAATCTATTGTATTTGATTTAGTTAGTTATTTATTTTATGTAGAAGAACTGGGGTGTAGGTTCGACATGCTGGGGAGTGAGAGGAGTCATCAGAGACAGAGTAGGGAGCAGAACAGGTGAATTTACTGAAATACACTGCTAAGAGCGGTGGGTGAGACAGGAGAGGTCTGCTATGCAGATATGGGTTAGCTCCCTGGCCAGGCATTGAACTCAGAATGTAGCAGTCATAGCGCTGAGACTTAACCCCTAGGCCACCGGGAGGCCTTGTATTTTATTTATTTTTAACCATTAATGTATTTTAAGAACCAAGTCCTCAACATCAACTCTTCATTTTTAAAAATATTCTTACTAAACTAGGAACAATGGCATGATTGTTAAAAATCTGTCTCAGGTGAATAGCCAACACCATATTTGATCATACAAGACATCCCTGTACTGTCTTATGTTTAGCATCATTTCAGATGTTGTAGCTGTTATACTACTAGCACATTAAAAAGAAGCATACAGATCTGTAAGGAATGTTATTTGTAAATGATATAACTACTTTTTTAAAACATAGAGAATAAAGTTATTTTTTAAAAACACAGAAATTACGAATAGTTTTCCTTTATACACAAAGTTCAAAGATATAATTACATTTCCAATAGCAACAACCAGTGAAAGCTACCTAGGAATAAGTAACAGTAAATTGCATATATATACTTATATTTAAAGTCCATAAAGATAGATAGCTACTTATATCATTGTTTATCTTAGGGGCAAGGAAGAAATTGGAATTTAGAGACTCTATTTCTTAAATTTTTTACATTTTTAGGCAAAAAAACTACTTTCAAAACAAAGAAAATGGGCATATAATAAAACCAGTGCAAAATACCAAAACTTTGGGAAAAAGATAAATGTTACTAGTTAGCATAAAAATACAACTTAAAGAGCTGATTTTCCTTCTCTAAACTGGCTACCCCAAAAAAAAGCAGCAATGATGTTCCAGATATTGAAAAGAACATGGGGTAAAAGGATACCCTACTGGTAGGAATAAAAATTGGAAGGTAATCTGGCAACAGGCAATAGGAACATTAAAACATACATGCTCTTTGACCCAAAAGTTCCACTTAGAAGAAAGTATCCCAAGGAAGTAGTCATGGATGATCATAAAGATTTTCAGTAAGCATATTTTCCTTTTATTATTTGCGATAGCAAAATAAAATACTTGGAAACCATCTAGTAAATCCTGATTATCCAAAGTAAAAATAATTCATCTCTACAGTAGAATTATTTGTAATCATTAAGAGTGCTACAGAGAAAAATGCTTCATTCAAGAGGTGTTCACAGTAACTTTGAAAAGATTCTTATTAGGTCCATATTTTAAAATTAGCTCTGTTTCTCATAAAAGTTTATCAACAAAACTTATTTCTTTGTCCATACAGTTTTCATTTATCTAATCTAAAAATTTCAAATACTCTTCTCATTCTCCTAATAGTTTGTTGAGAAAATGGAGGGACTAGTTTGTTTAGAATGTGGGACCCCCCTGGTGGCGCAGCGGTTGAGCGCTGGGTTGCAAAGCTGCCTGCAGCCTCTGCAGCGCCGGTTCGATCCCCAGCCACTGGGCGAGGATCCCACATGGCGCGTCAGACCTCCCCTGCCACCCGCTGCTCCCCTCAGCAGTGTACTTTGTCAGTCTGCCTGTTCTGCTCTCCGCTCTGGCTCTGGTGAATTCTCTCACCCTCCTGTGCTTCTGACTATACCCAGTGCTTGTATAAATAAATAAATCTTTAAAAAAAAAAAAAGAAAAATGAAGAAGTGAACATTTTAACTACGAAATCTTAACAGAGTTCTGCCCTCTTATTTTGTGTAAAATCATGTGGAGGTTTAAAAAACAAATTTTTTAAAAGATTTATTTATGCATACAAAACCTGGGGTACAGGCCAGAGATGTGGGGTTTGAGAGGATTCACCAGAGACAGTGTGGGGAACAGAACAGACAGACTGACTGAAACACACTGCTGAGGGGAGCAACGGGCAAGGCAGGAGAGGTCTGCTGCGCCATGTGGGTTGCTCCCTGGCTGGGGATTGAACTCTTGCTGCAGAGGCTGCAGATTGCTTAATAGTGAGGTGCTTAACCCCTTGTGTCACCAGGGAGGCCCCTAATTTTTTACTTTTAATTCAACCTAGCAGTTTTATTTTCCAGTTTGTAAACATAATCCATACTAAAAAAAAAATTTTTTTTGGAAAATAAAGGAAAAAAATCATCAACAATTATACTACCTAGTGATAATCCCTGTTACATTTTGGCTAATGATCTTTTCTTTTAATTATTTTATTTTGAGATAATTGTAGATTTTCTTGAAAAACTTTTAGCATCATTGAGGGTTTCTAAATAATTTTATGCCCAGCCTTTCTCCTCTAACATTACAACGTAAGAATTTTCTCACATATCAATTTTTTCCTGATGTATCATTTAACAGCTGAATAATCTCTATTACTCATTTAAAAAAAAAAATACAAATTTAACACCATCAGATGGTTAAACATGAAAATGTCTGGTTAAGATGATGTTGGCAAGGATGTGGAGAAAACAGAACTCCCACGTGCTGATGAGAGTGCTAGTTCCAGTTTCAAAAGCTATTGGCAACACCTTTTAAAGCTGAAAAACGCACATATTCTATACAATTCTACTTTTCATATGTAACCAGGAAGAAATGTCTTTTGTGCACTAAGGGACATGTATGGGGATAATTGAGTATTTTTTATACTAGTATAAAATGAAAAAATCAGAATGCCCATCAACAGGGTATTTAAGAAATAAACCGAAATACATACATACAATGGAATATTATATGGATGTTAAATTTAAAAATACATTTATGTCAACATACATCATTTTTTTAAATTTTTATATCCCCATACAATTGCACCCCCCTTATTTTGGCCCCAATTCATCCTTTCCCTGCCCCCCCCACCCCCCGAGTGTGTCTCTGGTTTATGGTTGTTTGTTGATTTTTTCTTTCTTATATTCTTTTTCCTGGTCCCTTATTTAGGTTTTCTAGATTCCTTCTATGAGTAAGACCATCCGGTATTTTTCTTTTTCTTTCTGGCTTATTTCGCTGAGCATGATCCCTTCCAACTCCATAACATGCATCATTTTTGAAGGAAAACAAGTTACCGAAAAAGCCTATATGGCCTTCCCTGGTGGTCTGTGTGTTAAGTGGCAGTGCTATTATTGCTACAGCCTGAGTTCGATCCCTGGCCAGGGAGTTGACCCACATGGTGCAGCAGACCTCTCCTATCTCACCTGCTGCTCCCCATAGCAGTGTATTTCAGTAAATCTGCCTGTTCTGCTCCCTACTCTGTCTCTGGTGAATCCTCTTACCCACTGCAGCTCCGGCCTACACCCCAATTCTTTTATGCAAAAAAATATTAAAATAAAAGAGCTTTTGTTTAAAAAAAAAGCCTACAATATTCCTTTTGTATTTGTCGAAAATGTACAAAACGGTGCTGTATATATATATATTTAGACACGTGTGTGTATATATGTATGTAAAAGTGTGTAAGTACTATATATATACCACACATACTGTACTGTGTATAGTAAAGTATAAAAACAATAACAGGAAGAAAACCAACAAAGGCATGTAGTTGCCTCTGAGGTGAAGGGAAGATGAGACTAGGAAGCAGCACTATGAAGTATAAGAGGGCTTCTTTATTTGTAAACAACATGTTAATATTTATTTTGGGAAGTTGAGTACATGAGGTTGTTGCTATATTACTATCTTCCAGATTAAAATGAATTTTTAAAAAATGCTGAAGATGGTGATCTTTTAGATCAAGTTATTGAGGTGTCTAATCTGAAGTCAGGCAGTCTAATCTGAAGCCTTTCTGTTTCCCAGGCTGAAATTTATCTTTGGCTCATCAGCAATCCAAGCCTTGGACCTAGTTGATCGAAAGGCCATCACCTTAATCTCTTCACCCAGCGGGAGGAATGTTTACCAGGTAGAAATCTAGAGATGATCTTGACAAAAACCACTTAGGTAAAATGTCTTCATAAATCTATGGAAGCCGGTGCTTAGCTTTAAGTATTTCCTGAACTGCTGAAAAGTTTTTGACCCCATTTAGTAACATTAATAGTAATTAAAATAATATATGACTATTGACTCTACCTAGCAGCGCTTACGGAACCAGCAATGATGTGGAGAGACTTTTTTCTCAGGCTTAATAGAGCATAATGAATTTTTGCTTTCCTGTGGTTTGATAATAGAGGCATGTCTCCCTGCCCCCATAAATGTATTGGTATCTTCCCCCATGCTCATTCACTCTTGCTTACAAGCAAAAGCCAAAGTGCATGTTTGAGATTCTTCCACATGCTCAATTCATCTATCAGAAGTGATCTTTCAAAACTGTTGTCAGGAAATATTTATTAAGGGTCAAACTGCACTGAATGCATATACTCTCCTTGAACCATAATTTTGCCCTCTATAGCTTAAGATAGGCAGATTTTTAAAGTAACAGCTTCTTACCAGACTCCGAATACTTTCATGTGTTCTTAATAATTCTCACCAAAAGCCCAGCAAAGTATTTTGCAGGAAACTAAGATACAGAAAAGTAAATTAACAGTCATATCTGGCAACTGGGATTTGTTAAATGCTATCCCACACTCCTTCTCTATATAAATAGTAGGCTAAACTCCCAGTCTCACCCCCATTAAACCTGTGCTTAGTGAATTAGATTGCCCTTCCCCATTATAGCTTAACTGACCTGACAGAATCTTCATGAGCATCTTCATTAAGCAAAATGTATTAGTAAGTACTGAGTGCTACAGTTAAAACTTTTGGATTTATTTAAAATAGGCTGCTTATTAGTATTTTCTCATGGTGATTGATAGTCAGAACTACTAAATCATTGTACCTGAGGTGTTTCCATTCTCTAATGTTTGTATTTTGGAGTTTTATGTGGTTAAAATACCCTGAAAGAGAGGGACCATTTGAGTTTTCCGATGTCTTAGATTTTTCTGTCTCGGTTCCATTATCAACATAACTAACACTTTACCTGTGCAAGCTGACTTCTGTCTGTAGTTCTGTGATTTAGTTATTCGTTAAAATATTAAAGATTTTGTTTGAAATATTTTAATTATTGATGTTTTGTTCCTCTCGATTGCCATGACTTTTAATTTTCATCATTCATATCTTATATATTAATTACTTTTTTCATCATAAAAAAGCTAATTCTCTAAAATTGTGACTGACAGCTTGGACTTTGAATTAAATGAGGGTGCAGAAATCTTATAAGCACCTTCAAATTAATCTTAATGGTTTCATTGTAGTAATATAATAAGGATTTGGCTTAATACAGCAGTTGATGTGAGATGATAAAGTTGAGTCAGCCACTGCTTTGATACTCAGCTAGTTGTCTTATTATAGGTCAGTCTAATATTCTTACTGTCCTCCAGGTGTAATGGTAATTTATTCTAAAGTTACCTGAGTTGCTTTTTATAAACTTTTTTGGTTCACTTAAGAAGAGGGAAGATGGGTCTCCCTAGTGGCCCAAGGGGTTAAGTCTCAGCACTATGAAACTATTGGCAGCCACTGCAGCATTTCAATCCCCAGCCAGGGAGCTACCCTATATGGTGCAGCAGCTCTCTCCTGTCTAGCCTGCTGCTCCCCTCAGCAGTGTATTTCAGTAGATCCACCTGTTCTGCTCCCCACTCTGTCTCTGGTGAATCCTCTCACACACACCTATCCCCTGCCACCCCAGCACCTCTGGCCTACACTCTAGTTCTAATATGCATAAATAAAATTAAATATTTTTTTAAAGGGATATATCAGTTAAATGAGGCTGAATTATGCTGTGGTAACAGCGACCCAAAATTTCAAAGGCTTATGAAAACAAAATTTTCATTTATACAATATATCTATTAAGAGTCAATCACAACTCTTGTTTCAAAACATCTTCACTCAGGGATCCCAGAAGGTGAAGCAGCTCCTATCTAGAACATTGTGGATCTCATAACAGAGAAAGGAGGACATGGTACAGGCCCATTTTTTGTTTCTACTTGGCTACTCACATTTTACTGGCTAAAGCAGGTCATAGCCAGTGTGTATTTCACAAGGCAGGCATGTATATAATCTTCTTTCAGAGAGGGGCACCAAACATGAGGAACAAAAAGATAGTACAGTTAACCACTGTGGTGGATCCTAGGAGGCTCAGAACAGTCCTAAGATAAAACTTCTCGTGAATGAATGATGATCTAAGCGGATCATCCTCAGAACCTAATTGAAACCAAAGCAGACTTCCTCCAAGTGAGGTTTATACAAGTGTAGTCATGGGTCTGAGTATCCTCTTTCTTGCATGTTTCTTTTTTAAAAAGCTCTCTCCTGGGGATAAACATTCCAGACTATGAGTAGGAGAACTAGGAGCAATTCCTGTTAAGAGGAGGTCATTTTTCCATTGAAGGATGAAGGAACTGAATTAGATCCCTAAGGTAAATTTCCAATTCTAAACATTTCTCACTCATATTTTTGCCTGATTATTAGGTTCATTAGCTGCCCACTGCTAGATAAGGAAGAAGGAAATTCAGAATCTACTATCTCTGTACAATATTTACTGCCTCAGGTAGTTGAACATTTTACTTTTAGTAACTTTCAGCCTTTGAAAGGATCGGGCAAGGCAGAACTTGTCCCCATCTCTAAGTCATTAGACATTTATTCAACATAGTCCACAAAGTAGTCTCATGGACTGGAAATCCACTGTGAGAGGAAACCAGTGGACCCTTCAAGTTAATGTAGAATTCCAGAGACTCATTCCTTTTAAATTTAAATCTAGAGAGAAAAATTACAGAAGATAACTAAAGAAGAAATCTGAATTTTATTCATTGGCACTAGTTTGGAGACCCAGGAATTCTTCATGTCACTGCTGGATATTGGTGGATTTTCTTCCAGGATTAAGTGGGCACAGTCTGCTTTAATGCTGTCCCTTCAGTTTAAGTTTTCCAAATGCAAGAAATTCTTCAGCTGGTATAGGTGAAATATTTAAATCAATAGTCAACTGCTTCAAGACTGGAAATATGTAATATGTGATTTTTTTATTTTCTGATTACTTTTTTCCAATTTTCAGATATTTACTAATCAGTGTAAACCCCAACACAGTACAACACCATAATTTCGTGCATTTAGAGGGGCAGTGTTTCCTCTCTAAGTGGAGAATTGTACAGATGGCTTCTGGAAGACCTTCATTTTAAGCAGCTTTATAGTGAAATATTTCATGTAGAAGTCTGGACCTTATTTCTTCTGTTTGCTATAATCTACATTCACTGAGCAGTACTTGTGTTACTCATTGGGATCCACTTTATTCCAGGGTTCTGGGTTATTCTTTCTGTCCCAGCTGACATTGGATTGAACAGAGCCAGATGCATAACATACAGCACTGCTCTCCTACCTCTGGCTCCAACAGAGGGGGATCAAGCTAGAGTGCTTCTTGGTCTGACTGGGGATGTGGCAGAGCATGGTAGCAGGAAAGGTTTTGGGCTGGGAAGGAGAGAAGAACAAGTCTGCCACAACCAAGTCTCTGAGATGGGATTTTTTAAAATATCTAATTTGTAACTGGTGCTAAAAATTTTAATGGGTACAGTAGGTATCTTTTTATCCAGCCACTGGCCATTCCTGGTAATCTAACAAACCCCAAGCAACTTTGCTCACTTGGTAAAAAAAATCCACCAGTATTCACATTGAGTTTAAAAAACAGAAGTACAATGCTTGAACTTGCTATTGTATAGTCAGTGCCTTACCTGTTGCTTTATTCTTGTGGGAGAGAAAGACTCCAGGGAGTGTTGAATTAAAAAAAAAAAAAATCTGGCCTTTTCATTTAGATTATCATCTTAGAGCCTAAGACTAATTTGAAAGCCCTGAAGCAAATTCCTAAGTGGCAGTTTATTATAAAATAACCCTTGGGATATTTCAACTTCCCTTGGATATTAATCTTACTCTTCCAGTTTGGAAATTAACTGTAGGGAATGAAGCCCTCGACATTTTTGTATTTGCCTGCTTGGTGGCAAAAAAATTTAAACAAGTGATTTCTGCACTTGTTTGTCTAATCACACTACTGACACATCATAATTTCCCCTAAATACCTCATTTTTGTCCCTTGACTGCCAACAGGCTGTTTGTTCTTAGACTGGGCCTTTTTACCAACCTTTCATTTATCTATGTCCTCCATCCATCCTGCTAGATGAATAGGCATATCCGGGCTTGCCTCTTTCTGAGACCTGCATCCTGAATAGCTGAGTCATCCCTTTTGCAATATTCTTGTTTTACTCTCCTACTCTCAAACGCTTTTCAAAAGCCTTTTCCCACTTTCTTCTGAAGACCTATCTTTCTGCCCCATGGCTCACTCTATACTTTTCATATTCTCTTTAGGTGTGTGGTGGAAGCTTTAGAAATTTACATACATGTTGTGAAATACCAAAGATTAAGAAATACCACAATAAAATGTGGTGCTTTGCCCTCTATCTCTTTAGCAGAGAAACACAACGGCTTGTGTTGATGGTTTAAATCATATGAAACTCTTCAGTTTCATTGTATGAAGTCCTTGAGGGCAAAACATTGAGGAGGGAGAAGTCTGCACACAGGGAAGTCAAGTTTCCCCCTTTGTTAAAATATCACTGCAGTTCTTCCCAGTGCAGTTAGCGGGGCAACTCACTGTATCAGATAACGGCAAGAAAGTGGTTTTCCAGCATACCTTTGCAGTCTGATCCCATCTGTCCTTTTCTTTCTAGGTACTTGGAAGTTCTGGTAAAACATACACATGTTTGGCTTCTTGTCATTACTGTTCATGTCCTGCATTTGCCTTCTCAGTGCTACAGAAGAGTGACAGCCTACTGGTGAGAACAGGGAAGACTCTTCCCATTGCAGTTGAATTAGGAGAGAAATCGTTAGCCCTTACTGTGTTTTAGAGTTGCGCAAAATGTGAATTTATTTAAAAATTCATGGATGAAGCTTTGGCGAGGGCAACAGGTAATCCCAAAAGTTGGTGTGGGGAATTAGGTTACCCAATAAAAATATGAACTAAATTGGATATTGGCAACTTTGCATATCCCCAACTCCAGCCATGAGTTATTTCCCATTCTATAAGACAGCCTGGCATTTAGCCATGCTTGACCTTCACAAGGGACACAAGGCCCTTTGATACCTTGGCAATGTCACAGGATTCCAGAGCATCCAGTAGGAACAAGATATACCCAAACAACTCCTACTCCAAAGGAGAAAGCATTACCCACTTGAGAGTAAGTAGCTATTTCTTAAGTCTTGCCAAAGAAAGAAGTTAGAGCATCCATTCCATTCTACCCCTATCTTCTACAGTTAACCTCATAAACATCTTGAGAACTGGGTAGCAAGTTGTGCATCCCTTTGTATGAAAGACCACGTTCATAGATGATGTGCCATAATTCAATTTCACCTGTAAAATGACAAAATTAAATGAGGGCCTCTTACAGACCTAGATCTGTATGTTCTGTGATATAAGGTCCAGCACAAATTATCTCCCATAATGTGTCCAGGCCAGTATATATGAGGGCTCCGTCACAACTCTCCTCCCCTCACCTCCACCGCACCCCCTACAGCAGACAGTAGACTCTTGAGTACATGGTTAAAACGGATAAACCTGTCCTTATGAGGTAGCTGTCAGGTTTAAATAAGATGATCTGTGAGAAGCAGTTAGCCATATAGTACCTCAAGGAATGTTAGCCATTGCTATTAAGAGGTTTCTGGAGGTAAGGACAAAAGATAATTTAGGACTGAAAGGAAGACCCTGTATTGTTTTACTCTAGAAAAACATCATCTAGATCAAAACTTTCCCAAAGCACCAAAGTAAAAGTTTGTCCCCTCTAATTTCTAGAGAGAATACACCTGTCTCATTATCTTTTTTTTTTTATATAATTTTTTTTTTTATAGAGGCATGTTTTATTTATTTATTTGCTTCTTTGTTTGTTTATACATGCACTGGGTACAGTCAGAAGCGCGGGAGGGTGAGAGAATTCACCAGAGCCAGAGCGGGAGCAGAGCAGGCAGAAGGACCGAAGTACACTGCTGAGGGGAGCAGCGGGCGGCAGGAGAGGTCTGCGCGCCATGTGGGACCCTCCTCCGGTGGCCGGGGAGCAGCCGGGGATCGAACCGGCGCCGCAGAGGCTCTGGGCAGCTTCGCAACCCAGCGCTCAACCGTCGCGCCACCGGGGAGGCCCTGTCTCATTATCTTTATCTTCAGATTTTAGGCAATGAGTTAAAGGCTCATAATTTGTGCACCCCACTAAATGCAATGGTAGTGAGAGGTCTTGGCCAGCCTGGCTCTGCCTGTCTCTAAGGAATCTGTATGTTTTGTATTCTAGTGCAAGCATCTCTTGGCAGTTTATCTTAGTCAAGTTATGCAGACCTGTCAACAGCTAAGTGTCTCTGACAAGCAACTGACTGACATATTATTGATGGAGAAGAAACAAGAAGCATGAACATCATATTTTAAAACAAGTTCCATCAAGAAATGCATTTAACCAGCAATGGCTCACATGGGAGAAGGGTGAAACAGGTCTTTGAGAGACTTCTTGTTACTGTCCCTTTTCCCTGCTGAACTGCAGAAGGAACTGTATCTTGGAACCAGGATGTGTAGGGTTTAAAGCCCTATATGTCTCCTCCTGAAAAATCTGAACCAACCTCTGTGCTCCTTGGGTAAACACTTTCCTTAATAGAATCAAACATTTTAGACCCAATCAAAGTCTAGAATCGTGTCGTATGCACAATTAGTTAGGTTCTTAAGTACTCAAGTGACTACCAGTTTTTAAGAAGTTGGAATGATAGATAAAACTGAGATAAAATTTAGATCAGTAAGTGTAGTTCTTTTCCCTGGGTCCATAAAATTATTCTAGCAGTAAGAGATGAGAACACAGATGTTACTAAAAGCAGCAAGTATAAAAAGACTTAGGGTTTGTGGTTTCAGTAAGCTTCAGATATCTGTGGTATTGGCGCCAAAATAGTTCAAGTATGCTGTATTTTTAGAAAAGCAGTATCTAGAACAAGGGAAGTACTGGTTTTGTTCTACATGTATTTCTGAGCTTTATAACAAGCCAAATGAAGAGACAGACAAAAAAATCATGTCCTAGAAGGAAACTAAGGCTACTATTAGGGATTTCTAGTCTGAAGAAGAAAAGGAAAAAGATATCAGGAGGAGTTAGAAGCAAGATAAAGTGTTCTCAGTTGTACCCCAAGAGAGATCAAAGGAGCAATGATAGATGAAAATGAGATAGATTTCAGCACAGACAAGAACCTCTTAATAGGTGAAGCTGTCCATAGCCACAATAAGATCTTACAAGGATAAAATTCCCTGTCTCTGTACGACTTTCTTAAACGTGCAGCGTCCTTGCTGGGATATTGCAGAAGAAACTGAAGCAATGAGCACACATATGAAACAAGTGATTTTACAGCCCAAGAAGTCTCCAACCCTGTGCTCCAGAAATATGAGGTGCAAGTAAGAGCTGTGTGAAAAGGCCACAGATATTGCAATGTTCTGTGGTTGGCAAATAAAATTTATCAAGATTTCTCTACTACTTGGGAAACCTGGACTTTATTTCACCTAATATGTGTATACAGTTACATAATTTTACTTAGTAAAAATTTCACTTTGGTTTCCAGCAACTTGGCCAAACTTGAGTTTGAGAGAAAAGTAGAAAAATTCACCACCTAACTCTAACAGGAGGAACGGGAAAAGGAATCTTCTAGAGAAGGGGTCTTGTTTCTCAAGTTTTTTCTTCCCATTATCTGATGATATTTCACTTAAGAACTTTGAGTCATTTCTCTGTATAAAAACAACAAGTTTCTTGATTGAAGAAGTATACTTTTAATTTTCCTTGTCACCTTTATAGGAACAGCCATATATATTTAGTATGTTCAACTTTTATTTTTCCATTGCTTCTAAGTTAAAAATATTTGTATAATAATAGTTCACAGTGTTTCACAGTAAAATAGTTTCAATCATTTGCTGCCATGAAAGTATGAGACTCTTTAAAAAAAAAAAAAGTCTTTTACAATCTATTCAAGCCGTCAATATCATCCACACAGTAAGAGCAGCCAGATAGAACCATAAATACATTTGTCAACTCTTGGAGCCTACTGTTAACATGTACATATTAATTAGATAAGTGGTAATTCCAGAGAAGTGCTCAAAAGATGCAGCCCATATGCTTGTGAGGTTTAATTGTCTTTCACAATGAGAATCAGCCAGTTATGTCCTTTCCTTTTGTTTGTTGTAAATTTGTGCCTTCTCAAAAAGGCCAGAGCCTAGGTCATCGACCCATATCAAGAGCAGGCTGTGTGCCCGCCTGCCCACTCCCATTCTTGAGGACATCTGTCTGACAGACAACATACCTGGAGATGATTTTGTGAAAAGTATAGCGAAAGTCTCGGTTCCGGTAGGCATAGACAATGGGATTGACAACTGAGTTGGCATGTGATAGGAGAATAGCCATGTTTATTGTCCACTTGGGTTTATCACTAGGATGTGCGAGTTGAAAATGAGTTATACAGTTGATGGCATGTACTGGTAGCCAGCACATAGCAAAAATCCCAACAATCATGGCCAGGGACTTGGCTGCATGGATCTCCCGCTGGAGGGTGGTCCTCGAGTGGTCCATCAGCTCAGTGCGCTGTAGCTGCTTGCAGGCCACAGTGAAGATCTTGATGTAGATTACCAGCATTATGAGAAGTGGGGGTAGGACACACCCAAAGAAATTGAAATATACCATGTAGCTCATGGGGACCACACACTCAAAGAAACATCCCTTACAGCAGCAGATTTCATTCGTGGTTCCATTCAAAGATTGTGTGCAGTTTTGGTCTTTGTCATTCCATCCCAGGAACGGAGTCAATCCAATGCCAAAGGCAAGGACCCAGAGGACAGCAATGACTCTTCTTGCTCGGGTCCCAGTGACCAAACTCTTATACCTGTTCGAAAGAACATCATCAATTATCATTGTCAAATTACAGTCCTCTGCAGCCAAAGTTGAAGACCCCACCTGGTTTTCCATAGTCTATGGCCCTAACAGGGTCTAAGGCTTGCCCTCAAAGGGCACCATACTTTTACCTTCAACACTAAGAACATGTCAACAAATATGAACAGCTTTGCTCTATCAAGCTCAATAAGGTCTTCATTCTTGACTTAGGAATCACCTCTGTTGAGTGACAAATCATAGCCAATGGGAACAAGTGGAGAAGACTTACAGGGTGCTTCCTCACAACCTGCACACCAACCTTTGAGTCTGGGTCTTCTCTAAGACACTGTTCTTGGTGGTTGAGATAGGCCAGATTGAATAGAACACGGAGATCCCTGCCTTTAAGGGAACTGTATTCTAGCAGGGAGAGACAGATAATAACAAACATAGGGTAGTAGATTATATATTAGGAGGAGCAGTGTGGAATGAAGAAAACGCAGAGTAAGGGAGACCAGGACTAGCAAGGACTAACTTTAAAGAGGTCAGTTAAGGAAGGTTTCATTAATAAGGTGACACTTGAACAAAATGAAGTGAGATCAGAGCCTGAAGGAGTCAGCATTCTGAGCTGGTGGCTCTGAGCAAGAACCCTCGTCTCCCACAAATACCACCAAGTTTACCTCTGAGTATGGGAAGAATCATCCCAGAATACCTCTGTAAAACAGAGATCGAGAGTCTGGCAAAGTTCCTACTGTCCCTCCTAGCAACAGAGTTGATTAAAAACTGGAAAATAACTTAGTAACAGCGAACAAATTTCAGTCATTTTTAAATCATTGAAACTTAAGTAACTAGAACTCACAATATGCATTATAGACATTCTGCTGTATAAACATCCATATATGGTTTATAGTAAGGCCATAAACTTTGCCATTAATAACCGGTCCATATAACACATATCCAATGTAATGTATGGCATAAAATCTTTCTGTAACACCTGGGAGGAAAACTGGGAAATAATATGACACATTAAGACGTCCAGTTTCCTTTGCCTGCAGGATAAAGTGTATACTTTTCAACATGGCCCATAGGGTGCTCCAGGTCTCAGCCTCACATACCCTGTCCCTGCCATTCCTGCCCAGGGGCTCCCTACTGGCTCATGCTTCTTGCAACATCAGAAAAAACAGTTTTCCTTTCCCTGTTTCAAGAGTCACCTCCTTCCCTGATTACCTCTTGGCCAGAGGTCACTCCCATCCTCTGCCCCATACCTGTCATAGAGCTTGTTTATCTGTTACATGTGCTTTCCGTCAACTAGAACATCAACCTCTTAAGGACTGGGACCATGATCCTTTGCACTGATATCCCAATGGCACGTACTAAATTCTTAATATGGCCATTAGACTATTTTCTTCATTTGTTACCTGATTTATCAAATAATTTTAAAACATTCTACTTATTAGGAATTCTTGGTGCTATGATGTGGGACAGAATTGGGACAGTTTGCTGAGGGAGTTAATTGAGATCTTGTGCCTCATAATTGACAGTAATACCTAATCTTTTCTGCTGCCTCTTATGGCAGCTCTCACCAAGAGACAACTAAATTGTGGGGCCTTTACGGCAGATCACCTGGTAGACTCAGTTGCTCACTGAATACTTCTTGGCTAATAAATCCATCTATTCTCTTTCTACTTCTTTGCTCATTCAGGAATGTAAAAAAAAAAAATGTTATTCATGTCCATTGCTCCATCAGAGGCATGAAGAATACAATTAGTCCCTGCAGGATAAGCAGGATCAAGCACCAAGCACTTCGAGTCACAAGACTTCAGATCCAGGAGGCAACCTGCCTGACAGGCCAGCCCTGGGGTCTGAATTATTGTTGGCCAAACTAAAACAAAGGCCATGTTTCCATCCTCTTGCTGGTAATAGTCTGGAGAGGATATGTGAGGTGCTTCTGGCCAGTGGTGCAAGTCTACTAGCAGACTTCCAGGAAGGGTTTTACTTCTTGATAAAAGGAAAGAGATCCTTGAGGAGAGAGAGCTCTTTCCTATGCCCAGCCCTTTTTACTTTTGATATTCTTATGGGAGGCTGTGGTGCCTAGAGCTGCAGCAGCCAGCTGCTGATCATGAGTGACAAATCTGAAGACAAAAAAAAGCAAAGCGCCTAGGTCCTTGATTACATCTGAATCACTAAAGTAACCCCAGAAATATAATGGCTCCATAGTTTGGTGTCAAGAGATAACTAAATAGTTGCTTGAGCCACTGTGTACCTGCAGCCAAAGTTGAGTCATACTAACTGGAACGAACTTTTATCTCTTCTAGTCCAACTTCACTTATTTTTCATATAAGGAGACAGAGATACAAAGTCTTTGAGTAATGAAAGACTCAAAGACCAAAGGCAAAGTCAGGATTTTCTAGCCTGTGTTCTTTGTACCACATTATGTTGCTGCTTATTTTACTTGATTTTTTTTAAAAACAATATTAGACACAAAGTACTCTGCACATGGTGGGCTCACACGGAGGGGGGGCTTCCCACTAGAGTTTAAAACAACACAGAATCTACCCACATCTGACTTCTCAAAGCTATTGGATCCTGTACTATCAATACTTTTATGCCAAATTATCCTAGATAATATAAAGCAACTGATTACATGAGGGCAGCAGCTGGTCACAGCTTTGTGAAACTCCCCCTCCCCTTTTCTTTACCATTTATTGGTTCATTATTTCATTCAAAGATTTCTTCCTTTGTAACATGCACTCTGCTAGGCACTGACAACATAATCACATCCCTCAGGGATTATAAGATAATGGAAGAGACAGGAAATAAGTAAACACACAAATATGTAACTATGAATCAGAATGAGTTTGGTGAACCAAAATGAATAGCAGGCAGATAAGAAAAACAGGAAGACATTAGATTATAGTCTGTCAGCGAAGGCCCTTCTCAAGCAGAAAGCTAAAGATTAAGAAGGACTAAAAAATTTGAAACACGGAGAGAAAAGCATTCCAGCCAGTGAGAACAGAATATGCTAAGAATTTCAGACAGGAGAAAATTTTACTTTTCTGAGGAAGCAAAAGTAAACATGATGACCTAAGATGAGGCCAGGGCCAGCTCCTAAGCCATGGGAAGGAATTTGGATTGTATTCAAAATGCAATGGGAAGCTATTGAAAGTGTCTAAGCAGGGGGATGTTTTATACAGCTCACATTATGGAGACTGAATCTTAGGGGAGCAAGAAGAAAGCCAGAGAGATCAGTTAGCAAACTTACTTTTTTTTTTTTTAATTACCAAAGTTCTTTTATTATTTTTTATTTGTTTGTTTATTTATTTACTTGTACAAGCACTGGGTACAGTCAGAGGCACGGGAGGGTGAGAGAATTCACCAGAGCCAGAGCAGGGAACAGAACAGGCAGAGTGACGAAGTACACTGCTGAGGGGAGCAGCAGGCGCTGCAGGAGGGGTCTGCGCGCCATGTGGGGCCCTCGCCCAGTGGCAGGGGATTGAACCGGTGCTGCAGAGGCTGGGGACAGCTTCGCAACCCAGCGCTCAACCGCTGCACCACCAGGGGGAGGCCCCAGTTAGCAAACTTTTAATAGTTAATTCAAGAGAAAATGTTGTCTTGGACAGGGTGATCGCAAAAATTGTGCACAAAGTTACACACTTTGGAGGTAGGCCAACAGGTCTTAAAGATGGACTGGCTATCAGAAAATAGATTAGCAAGGATGATTCCTAGAATTTAGTAAGTGAAGAGTGGATTGCAAGGAAATAAGATCAAGAGAAGGTGGGTGTTAGTATTTCAATGAAAATGAAGATTAGAGGATGCATTAAAAAAAAAGGCAAGATTATAAAAGAAGCTAAGAATCTTCTCGGCTAATATTGGGGCTGAGAAGCTGTGGGATCCAGGGTGCATGAGAAGAGAATTTCCCCGGCTGAGCGGGAGAAAGGACAGGGCCAGTGCTGCAAGGGCAGGTGGTAGGAAGATGGCATCAGAATACCCTTTGTGAGCTGCTATCAACTCAGACAAGTGTGATAAAGGCTGACACTTGTGTTGTCTCTGGGAAAAGGGAGCTTGCTAGAAAAAATACAAAATAGCCTTTGTGGTTTTGAGGGGGTGCAGCTTTCGTTGTTGGTAAGGTGCAGGCTTGACCAGGCAGTTGAAGAACAAGCTTCCCATTCTAGCAATTTTTGAGCCACTTCAACAAACACCAAGTTTCAAAGACATATACCTGTAGGCCCCAGATCCTTACACCTGCTGTACAGAACACACCAGTAACAGAATCTGCACCCCAGAAGCACCCACTCGAGGAGGACTAAGCTACACAGCATACGCATCTCACTCACACCATGCCTCAGGAGGCTAGAGCTGCCATCTCCAGTTTATAGATGGGGAACAGACTCAGAGAGGTTAAATTATTGGCCTGCTGCCCCTAAATTGCAGTCAAGACTGAAACCCAATCTAATTAGACCCAAAAGTAGTCAATTCCCTGCTTAGGCATCTACAGACCTCCAGCATTCACTTCACAAATCCCAGCTCCCTACTCTGCCTGGCCACCCAAACATGGCTCATCACAGTACAGCCCCCTAGAGTCAGCTGCCTTTCCTCCACCCCCCCCCCACCCCCGATATCCCGATATCTGTAGCCTTGCCAGAGTTGTTTGGCAATTCCAGGGACTGCGGCCAGCCACATGGGAACCAGAGACTTGAAGGCAAAGGCCTCTTCTGCCCCCGTGGTAGGCTGTCCTCAAGAGGTAGCAAGACACGTGTTCTTTATATTCTGTTAGAGAAAACAACCACAAGTTTGGGCTCACAACTGCACCCCTTAGGAGAAAAGACAGAAGCACTTTTAGCACTGGAGCTGTAGCTCCAGTAATGGCAGAACAGTCACTGTCCATGAGCTACATGCCTGGACCCAGGAGAGTGAGAGGCAGTCAGCGATGCTCTAGAAAGTAGGTAGATGTTCCTGTACTGAGCAGGCTGCTGGAAGGGGTGACTCCTGGGGTGTCTAGGACCTACTGAAGGTTCT